GAGCAGGGAGCCCGATGCGGGACTCGATCCTGGGACTCCAGGATCATGACCTGAGCCGAAGGCAGTCGCTTAACCAACTGAGCCACCCAGGCGCCCCAAGAGGTATTTTTAATAAGTAGTATCTTATACCTGGTTCTAAAAGAAAATCAAGTCAGGTGAAAAAAAAAACAGGCAAAGGGCATGAAGGAAATCCAACATCAAGCCTAACACTGAAAGAGTGTGTGTTGCCTTCTTTCTAGGTTAAGTTTGCATTGGTCACTGTGAATAAGTGAGGGAGTGGCTTTGGTGCATGAAGACGCTGGTCTGCTGATATGGAAAGCCCAAGAACATACTCATGAAAGGTAGCAGGAGGGTAAAATGTGGGTGAGGTCAGTGACAGTGCTGTGGGTCAGGCAGGACAGAAGGGTATAAGAATCTGAGAAAGGGGGCAGTGTTTGCCCACACAGGTCCTTCCAACAAACAGAAAGGTAACATCTTCGGGGTGCCTGGGTGGCTCAGTCGTTAAGTGTCTGCCTTCGGCTCAGGTCATGATCCCAGGGTCCTGGGATCAAGCCCCGCATCGGGCTCCCAGCTCAGCAGGAAGCCTGCTTCTCCCTCTCACACTCCCCTTGCTTGTGTTCCCTCTCTCGCTGTCTCTCTCTCTGTCAAATAAATAAAATCTTTAAAAAAAAAAAAAAGGTACCATCTTGGAAATGGGTCATGCTGCACAGAGTTCAAGACAGGACTTCCATGTTTATTTATTATTTATCACTTTTTATTTATGCTCATTAAGCAAGATTTTTTCGTTCACTGGATCCTGAGCATTTTCCCAAATCCACACGGAAAGTCACCAGGTTGCCACGGAACACATCATACACCATATTTTACATTTAGATTTAGAAAAAAGAGCATAAATATTTGGAGAAAATGACAGAAGACACCTTACCCTGAATGACAATTTCCCAGAAATGATTTAACTGTTTCATTTCCACTTTCTCTCGAAGGGCTTTCAGGAAATCGTTAAATCGCTGCTCTTCTGAAAACTGGGGCGGCATGTGGGGGCAGAGCAGATACAGAAACAAGTCACTCCTGGGACAAAGGGCTATATATACGAATCCACCGTTATTTATAAGAAAAATATAAAATGTCCTTCCTTTGGTAAATGGGAGATCTGGTCTGCCATTCCAAATTTCAGCTTGGTTTGCTGGGAACCAGAAATCCTTCCATCTGTGGAAGGTACACAACTGCTCAGAACCACACCGGTTTTTCGGTGCTGTGCTTTTTAACCTTCAATACAGACAAAGTCAAACAAAAATAGAAGAGTTTCATGAATGCTCAATATGCCCATCACCCAGCTTCAACACCTGTCAACTCAGCCAGTCTTGCCCCGCGTATACCCCAATCTTCTCCCACAACCCTGGGACTGTTTGGAAGCAAACATCAAGCATGTTACATCATCTATAAATATTCCGGTATGCAGTATCTAAAATCTAAAAAGAGAGGGACTTTTTAAAAAATACCAAAAAATTAGTAGTAATTCCTTAATAGGAGTAAATGGCCAGTCAGTATTTACATTTTCCCAATTATAAAACCCTTTTTCTTTTTCGTGTGTGTGTGTGTGTTGTACAGTTTTGCAGTTAGAAAAGGTCTCTACATTAAGGGTGGCTGGTATGTCTCTAGAGTCTCTTTTGATGCTCTTCCATCTCTCCCTTGCTTTTTAAAAATTTTTTATTTTAAGAAATCAAGTGACCTGGTACTTTAAAGGACAGCTGACGACAACAGGGCACTGAAGTATAACTGGGCACTCCGTCTAGCTGGGGGCAGTGCTAAAAAAGCAATATACTTTCACTACCTTTTCCCACCTTACCAGATCCTTCTTCACCTGGGGCATCCTTAGTCTTATATTGACTCTGCCCATATTTTGTCTTTTACTTATAGGGCATTTGGATCGTCTACTTCTACCCTAATTTTAACAATTTTCCCATTTTCTTATCATTCTTTGTAAGAACCTAAACAATTCAAGAATTAATTTGTTCACTCACTCAGCCAATATTTAATAAGCACCCGCATGAGAACATATACTACAACTGTGCCTACTTTAAAAATATACTTTCTAATTTAAACTTGCTCACTCTTGCCTAGAGTTTATGTATAAAAGCCTAGAAATAATTTGGAAGATTTTCAGTGTTTTCTCAAAATTCCTAATAAAACAAACACAAAACCTACACAAAAAGTGGGGTGTGGTGCTGAGTAATTAATTTTCAGTGTTAATTTTTCCTGGCATTCCAGATCCCTACTCTCGTCTTCATAAAATCCTTCTCAATAATTACACCAACACATATTTTCCACCAATTTCTTTAAAATAACTTAGCTGGTCCTTTAATGAGTGGGTCACCAGAGGTTACAATGGAAATTTCCCTGGTTTCCTAAATAGGAATCATGCAGCCAGGGCTATAATGTAATAAAACACTAACTCCCAGGGACGAAGCATCCCATTCATCCCACCCATCTTCATGCCCCCTCAGAAACGACAGTGATAGTAAAAAGACTTAGTCATTTTGGCATCTCTTGGCAAACACGGCTACTCAGGGTGAGAACAACGGTTTCCAAAGCCTGTGCTCACTTGTGGGGTGCTGTATGTCTCCCCTGTGATGGTGGCTAGGAAGAGGAAGACAGACTAGGAGAACATTACCTGAATGGCTTCTTCCCGGAAGACTGTGATGCAGTCCATGCTCTTCATAAAATACGGCGTTTCATTGGTATCCAGAAACTGTTCAATGTGATTTATTAGCTGGCCACTTGCTAGAACATAAGACAACAAATTTATTTTCCTTGTTCTGAGTGACGTTGGTTAGAGAGAGTACATGCTTTGTGTGCCTGTCAGTATGTATTATGGTTCAAGAGCCTCATGGTCAGTATGCACAAAAGCTATTCTTCTTTGAGAAGGGGCGGATGGGAAGGGCAGGTGAGATGCAAAATGCTGATTCCGAAAGTCTGTATTTGAAAAGTTTGGGAATACTTACTGATATCTGTCAAGAAATAAAATTTAATTTCTACAATGCTTAGAATTATAGCTAAGTGTTCCTTAGGGGACTAACACTAAATGGTTTTTTAAAAAGTTGTGGTTCCTTTTTGTTTTCCCCCCAGAATTTAGGGGCCATTTGGGTAATTCCAAACTGTCTTTCCTGATATAGTCACAGAAAATAGATCCTCTAGTCCCTCCCCTAATCCTACTCATGATAAACATCAAACAGTGCCAGACAGAGAAGAGTAATGAGCCAGGGACACCCCATCTTCTATCAATCACAGGTCAAATTAGAAAAGATCAGCCTTTGTCTTAATTTAATATAAATATCCCTTTAGAATGAGGAATCATTGCTACATATCTTCTGCCCTTGAACCTGAATATTCTCTCTGTTGCTCAGTAGTCTACAAGCCATGAACACTTAATAAACAATAACTCAGCAATGTCATAAATTCTACAGAAAGAGGAAATACATTATTAATGTTATTGTTTCTAAGACAGGCTGCAACTTGAGGCTGCCTAACAAACAAATATTTTTCAGTGAGGAAAAGAGAAACAAAGTCATCAGGGAATATAAGTCACTGAGCAGATTGAAACTGACCCTTATGACTGGTATAGAACAAACCAAGGAGATGTACACATTCATGGCATAAAGGCTCAGTCTTACTTGTGCCCTGAAACCACTCACTCGCTGGCTGGGAGGGCAATTTATGCTGAACGGTCAAGGTGCGGCCACAATCATGGCCTCGTCTGAGCATCGTAATAGTTATGAATGGGTACGTGCACAGTACTAATGAGACTACTTTCAAGGCTTGCCTATAAAGGCTCGAGGCCACTAACTTAATCACAATGACCTGGGCACTGCTCAATGCCTTATGAAAGACATCAAATTCAGTGCCATCAACTTAGGTCCTAAGAATCCTATAGCTTATGGAAAGGACAAAGCAGGGTGACAAACCTGGTGGACAAACCTGGGTGGCTCAGTCAGTTGAGCACCCGACTCTTGATTTCAGCTCTGGCCATGGTCTCAGGGTTGTGAAATCAGCCCTATGTTGGGCTCCGCGCTCAGCAGGGAGTCTGCTTGGGATTCTCTCTCTCCCCCTGCCCCTCCCCCCACTCGCATGCACTCTCTAAATAAATAAAATCTTTAAAAAAAACTGGACAAAGTGTTTCCTAATATAATCATTTTGCAGCAAGAGAAAAATATCCCCAGTAACTATTTCGTCTCTTCCACCAACTAGGAGATTATGATCTCCATTATAATAAAGTACTTAGCAAACTTGAGGGATTAAAGAAACACTTCCTTGCAATTTCTGAAATCTTTACCAATGTATCCTGCAGTGGTGAATTAACACCCAACAATACAAAGGAGAGAAGGGATGTTTGGATGGGTCTTTTTAAACAAGGTAAACAACACAGCCCTGATTAGTAGGCAGAGTGGAAAACCAACAAGCAGCTCAAAGCAAGAGAAGCTATCTATCAGCTTGGAGCGGTGAAGTGACAGAGGGTTTGACGGTGCTCCTCCAGCACTTACAGCAGCCTGCTTGCTCAGAAGAGACCCACAGAAAGTCACTCAGAATTACATATCTAGCCACAAGTAAGAGCCTTCACAGGCTATGGGTAGTAATCCCAGAGACTTAGCGTTCCTCCTTTCTTTTGAAATGAGAACCAGGGACCTTAGTGAGCTATAATGTAAATGTTTCTCTTTATGCAGTGAATATTTTCCTTACTTTGACCTAGTATGTATTTACTGTGTAACTGTTACAGGGAAGACCCTGGAGTGTGTTCTGTGGAAGACATGAAGTTGAAGATAAAGTCCTTGCCTTTGAGGAGTTTACAACCTACAAGGGGATATAACACACACACAAAAGGAATAATAGGAGGTAAATGTGAAGAGGACCATGACTGGTATGGAAATATATCAGCTGATGTGAATTTTTAAAAATCTCTGGTGACTGATTATAAGACATTTTCATTAATTAACATGGCTTTTTTGCTGGGCAATGAAAAACAGAATTTGGCCATCATAGAGCAGAAAACAGAATGAGCAAAAGTATAAAGAAGAGAGGTGGGAAAGGACAGGGTATGTCTGAAGAGACGCAAATGGAGTCCAGACAGGAGGAGGGGAAGGAGGAGGAAGAATCAGCTAGGGGAGAGGTGGGTGGTCCAAGAAGACAACAGTCTGTGTGAGGGTCCTGAGGCAGGATGGAGCTTGGCTCCAGAGCAACTGCAGGGGAGAAGGGTTGAAGACCAAGCCTTTAAGGAACTGCAACATTTAGAGCTCATGGAGGGAAAACAGAGTTGACAAAGGAGCTAAGGAGTGTTGAGGGAGACACACGAAAACCAGGAGGGTACGGCGCCAAAGATGCTGAGATTAAAGAGGAGAGCTGTCTGCTGTGTCCAAACTATGACATAAAGACTGCAAAAAAAAAAAAAAAAAAAGAGTATAAAAAGCACAAGGGATTAGGTACTGAAGCTTAGGGAGTCCTTAAACCCGGGAGCCCATATATCAACTAAATAGGGACTGAACTGCTTTGCAAAAAAACAGTTCCCTGACCCATTTTATTTTGACATATGATGGTGCACATGCGTGCACACACACACAGTTGCCATCCTACAGGCAAAAGCAGAAGTCAATAATCCATTTGTAGTAATGATACAGGAAAGAAGGGATATAAAAAAAAGGAAGCAGGAGTCTCAACATCTACTTTCTAGTGAAGAATGAAGTTCTTATGTATTTGTGGGCCTATTTGGATTGAGTTTTCTTACATGTTAGACTGTCTTTTCCTCCAGGAAGTTCAGGAACACAGGGAGATAAACATATCCACACTTGCAATAAATCCAATGAATACGAAGAACCAGATTTTGCCCTTCCAGGAATCATCAGTTACATGGCCTGTGCATTTGGCCCATGATTCTGAATTCTGTCGGTCTATCCAGACTATTTTGCAGTTCACTGACTATCATGAACCATTTAACACCAGCAAATAGCTGTGATGGATGATGCTTTAATATACTGAATATCACAATGGGATGTGGACAAGACTTCCCTTCCAAAGTCTGGTGGCATTTCATGTTTTCCTGACATTTTTAATAAAAGTAAAATGCAGAAATGGCAGACAAAAATAATATTCTACTTTGGCTTGATGATGCTTTTGAAGCCCCCATCCTCCCCACCCCACATAAAGGAAATGCTGATCATCAGGGTGCTTGTCTCCGCTTCCACATCAATTATAGGGTATGGAATGGCCTGTCAGTCTTCATACTCAGTAAATCACAGTGCCAATTATAATTCACCAAAATGCTTTTCAGAATTAGTCAGAGGCTCAATAATACTCATTAGTAGCTAATATAAAAGATGGCCATTGAAAGAGCCATCCATCTTAGGCAAGGGTCGTCATTTATTTCAAGGAGTCAAAATCAAAATGGTCTAAATTTTCAGGTTTTAAATATGGGCATTATATATTAGCCCAGCATCTTACATATATATAGATTGTTGATACACAAAATCAGTCTCAATAATATTTTAGTGTTAACACTAAAAATGCAACCCAGATACAAAAGTTTTATGTATGGGGAAAATGGCAGAGTTTTTTTGTTTAATCTGAAATGTATGTTCTCCCTCTCTAGAGAAAATATTCACCACCACCCAAAATCCCAGAAAATGAATCACCTCTCTTCTTCACAGGGGCCAAAACACCCGGGGCCATGTGCTTGTCAGCTTCTAACGTGACATTTGTTTACTACCTCTGTTCTCTGCAAAGATGTTTCCAACAGAATGAAAGGAAGTCATGTATTGTGGGTTTTTTCCCCTTCATCGGACAGAGCCCAAACAGCAGTAGGTTCGCTCATCTGTCACACATTATATATAAAGGGCTGTAAAACCATCTCAAATGATTTTGCTGAACCCAGGCATCATTCAGGACATTTCCCAATTTAATCCTTCTCACTATCTCAATGCCTCCTATGAACTGTACTTATTGAAGGGGTGCACATTTTACAGAAGTCGGCAGTTAAATTATTTTTAAATGTTAAGAACAGATTTACACAATGACAGTGGCATCTTCATAAAACAAACTTAAAAAGTGATGATATAAATTAAGCACTTAAATAAGTATATGGTCAGGTCAGTAATTAAAGAGAGTAAAATAACAGTATTTATCGGCAAACAAAACTCAAAGCAAGTAGTCCAGTCTGCCACCAATTAAATGCACATGTAAATACAATCACCATTTTAAGCCAGAAACTTACAAGAAACATTTGCCTGATAAGAAAATGAGTCTGTGTTTTAATATAGGCAACTAGAACAGAAACAGATCGCCAACAGGCTTATGGCTCTTTCCTCCAGGATAAAAACTGGTCATCGTGGGTAGAGGCTGTGTATCTACCAGCCAGGGTCCAACCAGAAGAAGAGAAATCACTCTGACAAAGGAAGTGCGATGCAGGCAACTGTTACACAGGTGCGGAGGGCTGTAAAGCCAACTGAAAATGGTGCTGTAACCCAGAGATTAGGAACAGCAAGAAGCCCTCAGCACCCCTTCGCAGTGCAGGGGGACGGGGAGAAAAGAGAAGAGAGAGGTAGAGCAACTAGAGCTCAGGGGCCTGTCCGGTGGGATCTGAAGCCATGGAGGACTGGAGATGCTGCCTAACAGAGAGGGAGGAAGAAATACCCCGGCTTCTCCCTCCCTCCTTGCCTCCTACCAATTTCCCACCAGGGTCTCCTGTTGGCTGAACCCTGTAGGAAGCCAGTTGTCATGGGAGGCTGCGAAATACAACCTGCAGGGGCTGGCTCTGTCCCGTCCCCACCCTCCACCCAGATCTGGTACACACATGGGAGGGGCGAGGAGTGGGTCTAGGGGCCATTCCACACAGTGTTACTATGAACCCAGAGAGGTGGATGCCCCATTTTATGCACTGGATAGATCCTGGAGACACAAAATTAACAAAGTATTCTTTAAATAATAAAGGAAGATAAGGGGCGCCTGGGTGGCTCAGTCGTTAAGCGTCTGCCTTCGGCTCAGGTCATGATCCCGGGGTCCTGGGATCGAGCCCCACATCGGGATCCCTGCTCAGTGGGAGGCCTGCTTCTCCCTCTCCCACTCCCCCTGCTTGTGTTCCCTCTTTCGCTGTGTCTCTCTCTGTCAAATAAATGGATAAAATCTTTAAAAAAAAATAAATAAAAGAAGATAAAATGTACAGGTTTTTTTCTTTCCTTCTTTCTAGTGAGAGAGAATACAATGAAATTCAATAGAAAGTTATTGAAAAGGTTCATAAGCATTTGTTTAAAGCTTTTCCTAGCCAATTTTGTATGTGTGTATATATATAAAAATTATATATAAATTAAATAAATAAATATATATATATGTGTGTGTGTGTATATATATGTATATATATATGACTGAGCCTGGGTGGCTCAGTCGGCTAAGCGTCTGCCTTCGGCTTGGGTCATGATCCCAGGATCCTGGGACTGAGTCCTGTGTTGGGCTCCCTGCTCAGTGGGGAGTCTGCTTCTCCCTCTCCCTCCACCCTCCTGCCCTCACTCATGCTCTCTTTCTCTCATGCACTCTAATAAATAAAATCTTCAAAAATACATATATTTAAAGCATACTTCTACAAAACCAGAATCACGTAAAAAAAAAAAAGAGAGACATAGATTTCACGTCTACTTGAAACATCTTTAGAGCTACATACATCTCCCTTTCCTTCAGGTCTAATCTTGTGAAACCCAGCACATGGCGGTCACACACCTGTGTGGACCACGATGACAAACCAGAAGAACCAGAAGTGACTGAACCCTTTCACAGAAGTCAAAGGATCTTCTGAAGATTGAAGTACAAAAAAAGGTATCCTAAATATTTTCTTCTTCATGACAAAAGATATGCTGACTTATTTCTTAAATGTCCTTTCTGCTCCTATTTCCAAAAGAGGCTGGATCTAAGATCCCAGGCAGAATCTGCCCTCAATGTTTGTGCTCCTGGTCTAGCACGTCTGGTATTCCTGGTTTTAGTTTTGTGGTCTTCAACGAAATATTTTTGTTGGGGAGAAAGAAATCACCGGGTGGCAACAAAAGAAACTGAGAATTAGGAAAAAAAGATAAACTTTACAAACCTGAAAATGATGTGCAAATGTCTTATTTTGAAGCAGCTGGACTGTGAAACAGACATAACTCTGTCCTGCTCTTTGCCTCTGCCCCGATCTTCCCCCTTTTAGAAGCTGTTCTGCGAGACAATTTGCCCCAGAATTCCCCACTGAGCAGACAGAGTTGCCCACCTCCCTTCTGAGAAGAGAAACAGTCCGTGGTCCTGACACAGAGACCACCATAGCCAGAGTATCATGCGTGACCAGTGGCACAAGAAACTGAATGAAGGCATATAAAATGCTGACCACTCAACAATATAGATACAGCCTTGGCTGTTTTATTATTATTTTCTTACCAATAACTAAAAAACTCAATTAAAGCCTCACCATTTAAGCTCCACAAGTTCAGTCACAGACCATTTTTTCATGCTTAACGATTTTCTCATTAAATGCAGTAATTTCTTACAAATTGCACTAATAAAAGTAAGTCTTGCTGGGTGTTCTCCCCCCCTTTTAAATGCTGCCTTTTCATTGATGTGTTAAATTAAAACCCCAGGCACAAGGAGCAGGGTAAATGCAAAGTCTTTATTGTCAGAATCCATTCCTGCAGACTCTTAAGATCTCGCTAGTTTTATTTTTGTTTTTATTTGAGCTGTGAGTCCTACTTTATAACCACAGGACGGTCTCTTGGTCTTAGCTCACTCTAGAAAAAAGGTGATAGTGCGAGCTAATGAGAAACTATAAAAATGGCATCCAGCAAGCCCACTAGTGGTAAGCTCATTTTATGTAAGAGAACATTACAACAAATCTTCTTCATTCTGGATGAATAATGGTTCTCATCTTAAATAACTTGAGTGTAAGACCAGGTCTGTTCCTGAGTCAGCTGAAAATTTTAAGTCTCCTGGTCAAAGGGTGGGTTCTATGGCATTCTATGGTCTTTTTATTTTTTATTAACAACATTCAATTTAACCATTAAAGACCCATTGAACATGTCCCACAAAACCTGAAGGTTATCCATGAATATTTACAGATTTACAGGGCATACAGCAGTTTGCTAAAGACCAAAGAACATCCATTTTTTTGTTTTTTGTTTTTAGTATAACTAATTTCCCCAATTCCAGGAGGGAGTGCACTTAAAGTCCAAAATTGGGACATGATGCTAACATAAGAAAGAAGCTAAAGGAAGACTTTTTCATCAAATGAAGTGACTTCTTTGGCTCCTTTGTGTAACGTATATGCCATATGCTTGGAAGTATGTGTTGGGTGTGGGGCTAGGGAGTAGAGAGAGAGGGTCTCCACAATTTTCTAACTCTAAAACTTGGTGAAGCTTCCTAAAATAAAAGTGCTATAGAAGAATTAATAACCTTACCATGTAGACATGATCCCATTCCAGATGGGCAGTAGGAGGGAGGCAGAATGCAAGATGACAGTGTTTGGTACTGTAGCAATTTTACAGTATCTGTCTAGCTTCATAGCAGAGTGGATGTCATCAACCTAATGCAGGAAGTAAGCAGAAGGAACCAAGTAGCCATAGTAACAGTGCAGCCAAGAGGAAACACTCTGGAACAGGAGACCAATCTGGCAATGGGATCCAATTAAAAGTTGGGAATTGAATGGAATTGAAATTCATGTATCAGTTGAAGAGATATAGTGAGTGGTGAGTCAGGCTCCACAGAAAGGAGAAGCAGGCGGCCACTGCTTGAATGTGCTTTTATGGACGATGGGGGCGGGGTGGTGGCACAGTGTCCTACGATACCCTAAGAATCTGAGTCACTCTTTTTTAATTTTATTTTATTATGTTATGTTAATCACCATACAGTACATCATTAGTTTTTGATGGAATCTGAGTCACTCTTAAAAGGACATATCAAGTACCAGAAAATTTAAAACAACTATGTTTCATGTGGTAAATCTTCCTAAAAATTGATAAATAATGATGCCCTGTGTTTATATGGCATCTTTCCTTCAGATCCTTTTTTTTCTTTCATTTTTTCCCTTTTTTGATTTTGTGAAGAAAGTTGTATAATATTTTAGAGCTCAAAATATTGAGATATTATTTTTCTCCACTTCTTCGATGGGGCTAAGATTTATGAATTGATCCAAAGAACCTGAGAGTTAATTCTGCTGTAATTCAAAAATTCAAATTGTTATTATTCTCAAGCACTGCTCCCTTGAAGTCAACAATGGAAACAAAAAAATTACTTAGTCAGCAGTACTCGGCAAACATAAAAACAGATGGAGGTTATCTGTTCCAGTGATGGTGGACTAACAGCAGCCATCTTGACAATGTATCACACTACAATAAAACTACTACTAGGCGCAGGTATCCCAGGATACACTGGCTGTTAAATCACAAGCACCTCTTTAGAGCGGGATTTGGGGGTGAGAAAAAAGAATGGGCATTCTTTGTGGAAGGAACATCATGAGCAAATATACAGAGGCAGGCAAGCCAATGTTACAAGGGTATTAGCAGGAATAGCGATTGGTCTGAGTACAGAGTTCACAGAGGGGGCCTGTAGAAGATGGGTCTGCAATGGCAGAGAGGGTTGTGGAAAGCCTTGAAATGGGGGACTAATTTCAAAGACATGGGGAGTGATTAAAAAGGGCTGACCCTTAATCAAATCTGTGCTATAAGAAGCTAAATCTGGGGGCACCTGCCTGGCTCAGTCAATGGAGCATGGAACTCTTGATCTCAGGGTTTTAAGTTCGTTGGGTGTAGAGATTAATTAAAAAAAAAAAAAAGGAAAGCTAAATCTGTACCAACATATGGGATGAACAAGAAGAACTTTGAGGATAATTAATATAGGATGCTATGACTGTCCAATGGTGAAGTAATGAAAACTTGAATTAGGATACTGGTGTTAGGACGGAAAGGAAGAGACAGATCCAGAAAATGATGGGAAATTAGGAGAGAATTATAAATGGGTACAAAGTGGTCAGAAATGCTCATCAACAGTCAACTCAAGAAGCAAAACAACAACAGCATCAAAAAACCCTTCTTTCTGGGGAAAGTCCTATTAGCACCAGGATATCCTTAGGCTGTTGCATCACTTGGGATACTTTTCTTTGGGCTTTCCTGTCCAGCCTTTTAATGGTTCAGGTTATGCAAGGCTAGTCTATGAATTCTTCCCCAAATTGGTCACCCACCTGCATTTGCACCCATACTGCCTTGTGTCCTACTGCCTTGGATGAACTATTTGTGCATCTAAGTGACCCTTTCCACCGGTGCCCTAGACACCACACCTCTCCCCTTCTCAAAGATCTCATCCAGTCTCATGCCTTCAGAGAACATCTCTAGGTGACTTTTCCCAGATTTATATTTAGAACCCAGACCTCTTGCCTGAAGTCCAGACCTGCATAACCAGCTTAGCATGTCTCTGTCCTCTCAGTAAAAACCAATTCCTTCCAGTCGCTCAGGCCAAAAAACAGGAGTCATCCCTGACTCGTTTCTTTTTCTCACACCCTACATTCAAATAGTCGGTAAAATCTGCCAATTCTTTTAAAGCATGTCAAGAATCTGACCTCTTCTCACTTTCTCTCACTTGCATTACTACAGTAGCCTTCTAACTCATCTGCCTACTTCAACCTTGCCCATTCTCAACATGGTGGCCAGGGCACTTTGAAAACATAAGTCAATCAGATCAACCTCTACTTAGAATTCCTCAGCGGTTTCCCATTTCACTCAGAGTAGAAGCAGGAGGTCTAGGAGGCCCTATGTGATATGTACCCCAGCTACCCCTCTGATCTCATCTCCTACTTCTTTCCTTCAGCCACAATGGCCTCCCTGATGCTCCTTAATGAAGTCAAATGCTCTGCTTCAGGAGAACATACTGCTCCCTCTGTCTGAAACGTTCTCCCCAGAGATACCCACCAGGTTCTCTCCTCCACCTTCCTCAATTCTCTGTTCAAATGATACCCCAAAAGTGAGCCTTCCTTGATCCTCTATAAAATCATAAGCCCATCTCACCCCAGCACTCACTATCCCATTATCCTGTTTTAATTTTTTCTCTAGTGCTATCATGATTTGAATACCATTCTCTGAAAATTCATGTCCTTTCCAAAACCTCAGAATATGACCTTATGTGGAAATAGGGTCCTTGCCGATATAATCAAATTAAGATGAGGTCATAAGAATAGGCCCTAATCTGACTGGTGTCCTTATAAGAAGAGGGAAATTTAGGGCATCTGGGTGACTCAGTCAGTTAAGCGTCTGCCTTTGGCTCAGGACATGATCCTGAGGGAGTCCGGGGATTGAGCCCT